GGATCCAGCCTGCAGGGCCAGCTCAGTGCAGGCATCACATGCAGTGCATGCCATAGAATAGTCCAACATGGGCCCAGGTGCAGCATGTGCTGCATACAGTGCAATGCTGGGAGCTAGTACATCTTTTGCAAGGAGCATGCAGGGCTGGTCCACAGAAGTACCAGGCTGGGCCTTCAGGCTACATACAGCATATACTGAAAAATATTATCTCTTTTTTCAGACCAATTGCATGTTGGGATAGACTTAGACAAGCTTTCAAATGAAGTGCATTCTTCTTCATGGACCTTCTCCCTGCATTCAAAAACTTGTCTAAGTCTATCCCAACATGCATCTGGTCCAAAAAAATATACCATCCAGAAACATCCTTGCTGAACTGTACTGGTCCAAAAAAAGATAACCATACACAAACATCCTTGCCTTGTTGTAGCCATACTGCTCCGGGAGATATGCACATCATTCCAGGGCTACTGAAATATATGATAAAGTTTTTAAAAATATTGAGCTGTCACTAACAGGAACAGGCAGTGTGTAAATATATCTTTTGCTACACTATCCAAGTTATCTAGAAACAATGAAAAGCACCCGACTTTAAAATGATATAGTACCCTTTTAAAAAACAAGTCCTTTTTCAATCAATACCATAACATTTCCATACCACAACACTGGCAAAATAAAGTCATCTTCAACTTTAAAAAACCTCTTCTCTCTATCACAATGCTAAAAATTGGTAAATGTTATATATATTCCTAGACATAAAGCTACCTTGCAAACACCTAACATCCAAAATACTGATTCCTGTGTAAAAATAAACCCAATCTAGCAGTACCAATGACAAACCCTGTACCTGGCAGTATACAGAAATAATTATTCAGAATGTGTATTTTTCAGAATTTTTACAGTACCATATTATGATTATACCTCCTCCGTTAGTTAGGCTCACCTCTTTTATTCCTTTTATCATCTTTATTCATGCCTGATCTTTATACAGGTATACATGACATATGGTCTGTACACAGGTACATATCAGGAATGGTAAGTGCTTCCTAACAGAATTTTTGCAAGAGTAAGTCATGACTGACCTGCTCTTTCTAGAAGGCTGAAGTGAAAGCGCTACTATTACAGAAATAATTAAAATACAGTACAGAGGCTGTCCACTTTACCATTTTGCCCTGAAAGATGCTCCTCACATCTCCACTTGAAAAACCTGTTTTTCCAAAACAAAGTCTTTCGGTCTAACAGACAGCTTCCATTGGGCCCTGGGCACCTAATGAAGTGAGCTTCAGCCCACAAAAGCTTGTCTGTATATAAAACACAAGCTTTAATGGACTGAAGCTCTAGACATACACATCTATATCTAGGCAGATATAAATATATTTATATATAGCACAAGCTGTCATGTGCTATACGCATTATAGAGGCACATATATACTATATACATGCCTATATAATATGCAAAACAAACAAAAATATATCTAAGTCGATATGCGTATGAATGTATATTACATACAATGACACACAGTGGCCGGAGCTACCCCCCACCAGCCCACTGCACTCACCAGCTCTGTGTGTGTCTACACGTGTGTGCGTCTACTAGAGTTACCATACGTCCAGGTTTTCCCAGACATGTCCTCTTTTTAGATCCTCTGATATCGGTCTGGGCGGTTGATCAAAATAAAATCAAATGTCGGGGATTTTGCTCTGCTCCTGGCTTGCCCCAGGAAGGAGCTGCTTGGGGATGGGCGATTGGAGGCAGGGTACACACACATATATGGCTGGTATG